CGTGGTTATGTGGCCATTGGTCAATATCGCCAGACAATTTCCTACCCTATGGTTACCAAGAAAGGTTTAGAAATAGATGAAAAGATATATAAAGAAGTTATTAAATGTTTCTAATTCCAAAATTCGTTCATTACTGATCAGAGTGGAGAGTTCATTTCGTTTAGTTGAATGTATGAAATGTACGTTGTTCTCTATTTTATTGAATAAATAGGTATTTTATCGAATGAATGAAAAAAAAATTGATTCTTATGGCTTCACCTTGATGGTCTCATCCCTACATTCACTCCCTTTGTAACTCTCATGCTTGAGTCTTCTTGCATTAATATGATGCATTTTTTCCTCCGGGTTCTATCCCCATTCCCTCCTACTGCGTTCCCCCCTCCTCCGCCAAATAGATGAAATCGAAAACTTGAAATCTCTTGAAATCATCTGAAATGGCGAAATCACCGAAAAAATCCCAGGCAATCACGTGAAATCAATGATTGCATGAAATCGTGGAAATCTCTCTGAAATCACGTGAAATCAGCCATCACTGTGTCACTGGTTTTGGCGCCTCAGTTGAATTCTAGTGGGATTCTAGTGTTCCCAGATCCTGAGAACTGCAGGAACTTTTTTTAATTTTCAATGTCTCAGGTACCGACAGCACAATTCCGAAGATCCTGATCTCAGTTCAAAGATCATCGGGAAACCTTGAGAATGAAAAAAAACACAATCGTGGGAATTCTTTCGGCCGATGTTGGAATTCATGCCTGAATACAAAAATTAATTTCTTAGTTTAGTTAAACATTTTCTTTTTTCCACCCAAACACTCAGGGTGACATTTATGGCTTTTCTTAGAAAATAGAGACGTGAAGAAAAACAGTCCTCATGGTGAGTCACAAAGGAGAGGCTGAAGAAAATTGAAACAAGGGCCTTTTGTCAAATGGGTCCAGAGAGTGAAAACTCTCATGACTTTTAGTTAGTCGTCCTAGAGACTTCGTTGGAGAAAGATATACCTTTTGCGTGCGATCATTAAAGAGTTTTACTTTGAAGAATAAAACTAATGTGTTTTTATTGAGTATTCCTACACATAATCCAATAGCCGATTTTGAATTTTGATTATTTAAGACGACTTACATTTGAATTTCTCCGGGACAGGATTTCATGACGATATGTATCTTCTTCAGATCTTCAAAATAAATAAATTTTTCGCGTCTCTAGAGTAGAACTAAAAATTCATTATTTTTGGTAATTGAACATTGTAATCATGCGTAATCTAATTTTTACGAACAAAAAATGGCAAGTTGAAGCGAAAAGGCGGGTTGAAAAGAAAATTTATCAATTTAAAAATTCATTTATTCATGATCTATTACGAATAACGTAAAACACATCCTCAACTTTATTGTTTGGAGTGTAACGAGCATTTTAAAAAAATCGTGAAAAAACTACGGCACAAGGAGCATTTTGAAGGTAAAAACTGGAAAAAATGCAGTTTTTCGGGGTTATACGGGGCAAAATCGATCAGGTTCGCGATTTTTCCTAGTTATTTCAATATTCTGTCGTATATCATAAACTGTTCAGGGGGTTCCAAGGCCCAGTGAAGACTTAAATTTCACCCACGTATCCCCTTGACAACCTATTTTCTCAAATAAATTTGTCTCCTTGCAGAACACTGAAAACTTAAGGATGTATTACACTCTTTTCGCCAAAATTCACGTTTTTTTAATTTTCCTGGTAAATTGTTGATCGGATTGACGTGAAAAAATATACCGTTTTTGCCGAGGGGCTACTCACTCCATAATTGAGTGACACCATGATTTCGAAATGAAGTCGATTTCGGGTGATTTCAGTGATTTCGGAAAAAATTATTTCGGTGATTTCGAGGGTCATGGAAGGTAATTTCATGATTTCGAATGATTTCATTAATTAGAAATTAGTGATTTCAGGAAAATAAAGTTAATAAATAATAGAGGTAATAATAGAGGGGCAAAACTGGTTGTGTTAAATTATGGAAATCAAAACTAAGAATATTAACTGGCAAATAATAACGAATTCGTTTTACCATTTTACTATCACAGTGAGTACGGCACTTTATTATCATCGTTGGCAGATGTTTCAATTTCAAAATCACGAATTACTTGCGCGGTCCGTACGCCAGGGCGGTACTGATTTCGGTGATTTCATGGATTTCACACGATTTCACGTGATTTCAGAGATGATTTTGAAAATAACTTCAGTGATTTCAATGACTTTACGTGATTTCGGAGTGATTTCGAAATGATTTCATGCCAGAGTGGCGTCGTGATTTCGCAAGTGAGTAGCCCCTCGGTTTTTGCGTTTTATCATTACTTAATGACTCACGAAATTTCATTATAGTGCAATCATTTTCATGCGTTTTGTCTAAAACTTTGCGGAAATTCATATAACTTTCAAAAAAATGCAGGAAAATGATCGCACTACTATGAAACTTCGTGAGTCAGTCAATAATGGTAAAACGCAAAAATGGTATATTATTTCGCGTAAGTCGGATCAATAATTTACCAGAAAAATGAAAAAAACGCGAATTTTGGCCGAAAGGGTGTAGGACATCCTTAAATGCATCTGTCTCTTAAATTTCAAAAAAATTCTAATACCTTCTCGGTTATTATAATTACCACTTTTTAAAAGCGTGTTATGATTTTTCGGTCATCAGGGACTTTAGAAAGCAGAAAAGAAATAACTGCTGTTCTTTTATGGTTTTTCGGGAAATCAGGGGATAACGAAAATTCTTACGGTCCAGCGTAGCGTAAAGCTGGGTGGATGAAAGGATGGATGCCTGGCGCGCGGATTATACCCCGCTTAAAAATGAGGGGAGATGGACTCCGGAGAATTTTATCCAGTATATGTATAGTCTATACGCTGGGTCCCATTTAGTATCCACGTTCAGTGTTACGAGTGCACTCGGTATTTTTTTTATTATGTTTTTTGATGTGCAGAATTTAAATTTGAAAGTCGTTTTGCTGACAATCGATGCAAAAAAGTTATTAATAATTCAGTTGTTGAAATCAAGTTTTCTTGGAAATTATTCAAAGCAAGGAAAAATAGTCGAAATGAAAAATGTTCCTCTTATTCTGACTAAACATGAATGCCCGATTCCAATTATTTCCGAAGATATTGAGTGTACGGGGGGCCGCGCGGAGACGCATTCGAGCGTGAAATTTCCCATTCGGATATCTCGGAAAATAATTCAAACAGGAAAAAAATCTATAAGTACAAATATGTTTAGTTTGACAAGAGGAACATTTCTTATTTCAACTATTTTTTGCTATCTGGAATAGTTTTTGAGAAAATTTGGTTTTACCAATTCAGTAGCGAAGTGGTAAAGCGGTTTAAGTCGACTCATCTCCCAGTTGGGTTTCTGAGGAATATTTCCGAATCTAAGGAAGATGGCGAAATTTTCATAATTACATTTCTTGTAGCTCTCAATCGGCTCTACAAAAAAGGTTATAACAAAACTCTTGCCATCTCCCTTAGATTCCGAGATATCCATTGAAATCTGGTCAATAGTCAAAATTGACTTGTACCGTTTCACCACTTCGCTACTGAATTGAATTGTAAATAACTTTTTTTTGCATCAAATTCTTCATTCCGGCGCACTCTCTGCATGTGTGACCCAAAAAATCCTTTTCTGATGATTTTCAAAAAACTATTTTCTCGGCACAAGTAAGACTTGTTTGAGAACTTTGTCGTTTTTCTCTCAGCGTACGATTTTTTCATACGTGTACATACTGAAATAGGGTAAACAGGTCAATTTCTGGACGGGGGTTAGCTTCTGGACGATTTCAACTTGCATTGAATATTCCACAAATAAAATGAAAATTGTATTGATTATTTCACCTCTCCATAATATCCCTTGTGTATAATCATGTGATCAATTATGTTTTTCTATTGATCAACATTGAATAAATAAAAAAAATATGACCAAGTCGTCCAGAAATTGGGGGTTTCGGCTACATTCAACTAGGGTAAACTGCCCAGTAGATGGACGCCTAAGAAAACTGCCCAGTAGATGGACGTTTGTTTTTTAGCCATTGAAAAAAAAAATTGATCGAAAAAAAATCGTCACCCAGGGGTTAAGAATCACAACAGTTAGTGAAAATTCAAAGCAACAATTCACATTTCAGTATTTTTTTGCGTAATTTCCTATCCAAAAGTAGCTCGTCCATCTATAGGGCAGTGTCCATCTACTGGGTAGCTTACCCTATTTCTCAATTTAATTATTCTTTGTTTTGTTATTTTCCCTTTAAACTATTTTTTTCTGCTAATTAAAACATTCTCGAAGGTACGGAAGCCATCATATCCCCATTTTAGGTGATCCTTCTATTTTAGATCCTACCGCGAAACTCGAATTTCCTTTAACCGCCCAGCAATTGGCCTGGTCACCCTGCATTAAAAATGTTTAAAAACAGTACATCAACCGACGAAAAGTATTGAAATGGGGAAGGGACACGGTGGGGATAGACCACGTGATCGGTTTCAATTCTCCAACTGGAAAATGAAATTTTCGTAAAGGCGAGGAAATAAAATTCAGCCCTTCAGAACAATTTCCCGGATAATCTACAACAGAACCATATCTCGCAATAAATCCCCCGAAGAGACGCACTCCACTGACATATGTTATTACATCTCCCCTGAAATGAGCAATGACATGCAGCGCGACAATTACTCGCACAAAGGGGTTGAAATTTCCCCCTCCGTTCGCGCTCAACCCCTCCCCGATATTTCCTCTATTTTTTAATACCCCTCCCCCCTCCCCCAGGGTCAAAATTCCGGCTTCACTCCTAGCGTTCGGACCCGAATAAATAAACAAAAAACGCAAAGTGGATGTGGAAAAGGCGACATCGAGGTGGTAAAACGCGTAACGGAGACAAAAGTATTGAAATGGGGAAGGGACTCGGTGGGGATAGACCACGTGATCGGTCGGGCGGGGGTGGCAGGCGACATTTCGCATGCTCAGAAACTCTACAGGCTGCAGCATCACAACGGGCACAACTAGCCGGGCCGATCGACCATTCGGAGTAAATTTTCGGAGTGCAATAATTCCACCGGCATAATTAATTCATTAAAAAACACCAATCACCGGGGGAAGATGCTCATTGTGGGGTGATCATTGCAGTGCCCAGTGCAATTAATCTTCGTCACTTGTGGGTGATTGGAGAGTTATTTAATTGCTCAGTTAAATAAACAATTTTTAATCGGCAGTCGGAATCCTCATTTCGGATAATTGAGTAAAAAGTGTTGAGAATGTTCTTCGGGCTGTGGAAAGTGCGAGGAAAGTGAGAGGACAGTGATATTACGACGGATAGGTGAGTCGCCTAGGGGATGAAAAGCGCAGGATTTCATGATTTTTTGGAGTTTGAAGGAATTTTTGGAATTATTTGCTCGCGATCTTTGTGATGTCAGTGTTTTGTCTGGTGGGACCACCTTCGCGTGACTCGTTTTAATTCATCTAGTCCTTCTCCGGATGTTTATGAGCCGAGCCACTGGTAATCTCCGGACCATCGCACCGTCTGACAGATGAAATAAATTTGTCAGAGATAACAATCGAAATTTATTCCAATCGAGGATATTTCTCCGTGTCTTTTCCAATAGTTTAGTTTTTTTTTCATTTTCTCTTTGCTCGTTCATTCAGTTGGTTGTTCGTAAACTTTGACGTGTGCTTTGTTTCTTTTGTCCCCCACACGTCGCCTCTTGAATAACATCCGCCTCTTTGTCTCACGTTTTTCGGATTTTTTTCTTTTTTTTCGGCGCGGGGAAGACCAGGCTCCTGCGGAACTCGGGAAATGACACGGGTGGAGGAAAATCCTGAGGTAAACGGAGGGATTAGCGGTGGACACATCTGTTTCCCACGCGTTACTCTAAGGCTGGATGTGGGAGGGCTTTTTAATGGCTTTTTCAAATTTTGGGGCAGCTTTGGGTGGATTTTTGAGGAAAGTATCGTGATGAATTTTGAATGATAGTTGACTGTTTGGTTTCGAATGGAAGCTTTGTAATCGTTCAAACTTAACACGCACGAAAAAAGTTAATAGAAAAAGCTATCGAATTCGTTAGAAAATTCTATTGAATTTCTGTTAAACTTTCTATTAGTTTTTGGCTGATTCTATTGACATGTTCAATAGAAAAAGTCAACAGAATTCGATTTTTCTATATAACTTATTCTTTTCATATGTTTTCTACAGAATTTGCTCGACTCAAATTTTCTAATTTTTTTTCATTCTATTTTTCTTTTCTTCTCATCAAGAAAATCAAACCAAAAAACTTGGAAAATTTGAGCCGAGGAAATTCTATAGAAAATATCTCAATAGAATAAGTTATACAGAAAAATTGAATTCATTGACTTTTTCTACTGAATATTTTCTATTGAACATTTAAATAGAATCGGCCAAAAACTAATAGAATAGTTCAATAGAAATTCAATAGAATTTTCTAACGAATTCGATAGGTTTTTCTATTAAATTTTTTCGTCCGCGAAGTTTTTGATTTTTTGTGTTATATCGACTCAGTATGATCCAATACTGTTAGAGATTTTTTGAAAATTAGGGGAGGGTAAAACGGACACTTTTGACTTTTTTTGAAATATTCATGACGTGTTGAATTGTTCGTGAAATGGAATAATTTTATTTTTCAATTGACTGAGCTCAATTGATAAATCTGTTTATGAGTTATGAATATTTTTAAAAAAGTCAAAAGTGTCCATTTTATCCTACCCTCCCCTAAGTAATAGTTGCATTTGAATTCTCAATGTTGGGATTTTGAATTCAATTTAAGATCAAACCGTTCATGGAATTTTTCATTCAGGTGAGAAATTCGGAATAATTGGGTTTTCCATGTGAGATTATCACGGATATTTCCTCGGATATTTCAATGACATCTAGAATTTTCAAATTCACAGCGAAAATTGAACATCACATTCAACTGAATTTTCTGTGGATTGAAGATTTAGGGACATTGTTGCTTAAATTTTCAAATTATTTAATAATTTTCATTATCGCGTGGAAGTGAAAATTACAATTCAGTAGCGAAACGATCAACCGGGTTAAGTCGATTTTGACTTTTTTACAAATTATTTAGCTCGATTTTGACTTTTGGCCAATTATTGAGGAAAATCTCGGAATCTAAGAGAGATAATAAACTTTTTCTCATGACCTTTTTTTTAACCCTCAATTAGCTCTACAAAAAAGGTCGTGACAAACATTTTTCTATCTCTTTTAGATTCTGAGATATTCATCAAAAACTGGTCAATAGTCAAAACCGACTCAACCCTGTTTACCGCTTCGCTACTGAATCCTATCGAATACTCCAGAATTCAACGGATTTTTCAATAACAAAATACATGAAAATTTCGCATGAATGAGTGATTCTTAGAAATTTCAAGATTTTTTACTGGAAATTTCAGGAGCAATTTTCTAATAGTGAAAAATTTCGAATATGCCATTTTTAGAACTCGTCTTTACGTGTGTGTATATGTTTTTACATATATAACAAAGTTTTTCTTCACTTCAGTAGTGAAGTAGTAAAGGGAGATAAGTTGACTTATCTCCCAGTTGAGTTTTTGAGGAATATTTCCGAATCCAAGGGAGATAGCTAAATTTTCGTAAATACATTTGTTGTAGTTCTCACTCGGTTCTCTAAAAACGGTCATACCAAAAATTTTGCCATCTCTCTTAGATTCCGAGATATTCATTGAAAACTGGCCAATAGTCAAAATTTAATTAAACCGCTTTACCACTTCCCTACTGCATTTATAAATATCGAAAGAAATTTTTAAAAAAGTTGATGTTTTTTTCTGCTCATGATGGAGTCATATTGCGATATAAATGCTGGTGAAGTGAAATTAATTTAATTTAGGAACTGAATCCCTACTTCGTTAGATGTAATAATTCATAGAACTGTTGATGAAACGGGATCAGTTTTCCTTATGAAGTACAATCCTTTCTCTTTACCATGAATCCAAACTGAGCTCAGTAGATAAATTCATTTTTGAGTTCTGAATATTTAAAAAAATATCAAAAACTTATTTCTTTTCGTGATGAAATTTTGTTGTGATTTGAATGATGATAAAGTCAATTCAATTTAAGAGATGAATAATTCAGTAGCGAAGTGGTAAAACGGTATAAGTCAATTTTGACTATTGACCAGTTTTCAATGAACATCTCGGAATCTAAGGGAGATAAAATTTTTTAATTTTTTAATTCAAAAAAAAATTTTTTTTCTAAGGGAGGGAAAATTTTTATTATAACCTTATTTGTAGACCCGATTGAGAGCTCCAACAAATATAATTACGAAAATTCCACTATCTCCCTTAGATTGGGAAATGTTCCTCAAAAAATCAACTGGGAGATAAGTCGACTTAAACCGTTTTACCATTTCGCTACTGAATTTATGAATATCGAGACAAATTTTTAAAAAAGTTGGTGTTTTTTTCTCCTCATGATGGAGTTACATTGCGATATAAATGCTGATGAAACGAACTTAATTTAATTTAGTGACGAAATCCCTACTTCATTAGAGGTTTTGACAAACGGGGGTCTCTAATTAGGCAGCTGTCAACTGGAGCCCATTATTCGCACTTGCGCGTTGGAGATGGAACGCATTGTGGTCTAATGGGAATGTCAAAATGTCGAAGACAACAACAACTGTCAGATACTCGGTGAAAGATTCACAATGCTATTGTGACGTTGAGTAATGTGTTGAACGTTCAAAGGGGCATATTGGAGTTGATAAACTACTCAATAAATTGTTATTGTCCTTTGATAATTCATGTTGAGGAGGGGTACACACCGGTGGAAGATTTTTGTGGGATTTCCCATGAAAAGTTTAAAGATTTTTCCTTTAGAGATTATTTTATAGAAATTTCGATTTCCTGTCAAAAACGTTTCATCGATGATGCATTATTCTATCAAACTTCTGGACCTGCATGAGAAAAATTCACTCAACTTTTTCCATAGTAGATTACAATAGTTTTGCATAAACTTTTCTGCTGGAGGATTTTTTCATTTTTTTTCTTTATTGTACTAATGGGATTTATAACGTGTAAAATATATCGTGTGTATAGAAATAATGTAGATTACTTGATCTGACGGATACACTCAGAAAAAATTCAATAGCGAAACGGTAAAACGGTTTAAATCGACGCAGCTCTCAGCTCAGTTTTCGAAGTATATCTCCGATCTTAAGGGAGATGGCGAAATTTTCGTAACAATCTTTTTTGTAGCTCTTAAAGATGTTTATCCAAAATCGCAGTATTAAAAAAAATGATTTTTTTTCAACTGAGAGGTGAGGAGATTCCCTTTATCTTGATAAAAATTTCAATCCACCATTCCACGTTCGTTATTTAGAAATGAAGTGGACAAAATGTACCAAACGCACGCGTCAACATGCGCTTATATGGGGTAAAATCTTTCAAATATTTCCTCTTTTTGCGCGGGTGCCCCAAATTTTTTTCTGGCCAATCGATTCAGTAGAGTTCTTCACATTATCTTCTATTTTTATTTTCATTTTTAGAGTCTTATAGTACATTGAGAGAAAAACGACAAAGTTCTCAAACAAGTCTTACTTGTGACAAGAAAATAGTTTTTTGAAAATGCAAAGAGCACGCCGGAGTAAAACATTTTTGTCGCAAAAATAGATTTAGTAGTTAAAAAAAAATTGCGTTCTCTGTACACGCAAGAACTATCATTTCTAGCACTACTCCTTCGTTATTCAATACTCCCATACGTATTTTGCTCCCGAAAAATCTTTGTTTTATGCGAAATGAGGGATAGTACTTTTTCGTTTCGGCTGTCTAATAATCACAGGCAAGAAATGAACCCTTAAATGAAACAATAATAATGATATAATAGCAATCTTGTAATTTAGGGATAAAATATTTGTTGATAAACTTTCCTCTATATGAGATATTTTCATCCTGAAAAGGCACCGTCTGGTGTGAATTATCCGCCTCTTGAGCCAAATATTTCGTTGTTGTCGAAAGCAGAAAAATTATTCATGTTTGAGACTTTCAAATTCGAACCAAAAAAATTCTTTTTTGGCAATTTTCAACGAGCGATTTTGTTGGCCCAAACAAAACTTGTTTGACAACGTGTTTGTTTCTCTCTCAGTGTAGGTGAATTATAAGTTTCAACATAAATCCCATAAGAGCCCGTGTTTAAGGAAAAATTTGTTTATTTATGTTTGGCGAGACTATTGCAATTAATTCTTGTTAAATATCAAACAAGTTAGATTCATATGGCCTGCTATGAGCCAAATAAATTATAGAATTTTCCTTGAATATGAAAAAGTAAGATTTGCTAAAAATGGCTAAACA